GTGTGTGTGTGTGTGTGTGTGTGTGTGTGTGTGTGTGTGTGTGTGTGTGCATTAATGCAAGTGTATGTGGACTATGAGGCGCACTTAGAATCCTTTAATTTTCTCAAAAATCGACAGTGAGCCTTGTAGTCTGAAAAATACAATAAAAAATAATGCAGCACTACATTTATAAACCACAAGATTAAAAAATTAATTTTATGTTTAGTTCCCAGCAGACAAAACATATTTCTGCCCTGAGTTTTACCTCTCAGGCTTTATCGTTTGACCTGTAACATTTTTTTATCTTCAGCCTCACAGAACAAGGAAAAAAAAAAAAAAAAAACTTTAGGCGTGGATGTTTAAATTCACTCATTGACCCGAGCATGTAGCTGATTACTTTAAGAATTTGCACCGTGGCTTTATTTTTCTAGCTGGTCACTGAGACCGTGTTGTGTTAGGAAACCAGTGAAATGAGAAATATGATACAGGAAGTCATGCTGAGTTAGAGATCCTCGAGTCTGTTGGCTTATCTGAAGCAAAACACTGAAGTTTTATACGTTTATTTGGAAGGATATTACTACTGGATTAGTAATACTGTTCCCAGTGTGTATTAATCTAAAAAGAATGTGTATAAAATCCTATTGGTCATATAAAAATGTTTAATAGACTCCATTCCTGGTGAATCAACCTGTCCACTACATAAAAAGCAACAGGGAGGTGATAAAGTTTTTACTTGTGTTTGTGACTATGTCTGTGTTGTGTGTCTGTCTGTTAGCAAAATATCTCATGAACCACTGAAGGGATTTTAATGTACCTCTCAGATAATAATCATTGGATGTGTCTCTATAAATATTTAAGATTTGGAGTCAATCCATGTCAAAGTGGCTGCCACAGTGGATGAACATTAGGAAACACATTAGGATATAAATCATGTAATTATAAATGCACTGACCTGATATTTGGTGCGGTAGTATCCGAGTTTGGTTCCTCACACATATTTTGAGCACTAAAATATTGCACAATATCGTCATTTAAAAATATGCCATTAACTATTTGGAGTAAACTCTGTCCGTTAGCAAAATTTCTCACGAACCACTGGACAGTTTTTAATAAAACTTTCAAGAAGTTATTATCGAAGGTACCTCTACAGCTGGTTATCTTTTGAAGCCAACTCAATTTAAGATGGCTGCCACAGCCAACTGTCCTTAAAAACGCATAAATGGATGCATCTCAATCAGTTTTACAAACGTTGAGCTAAACTTTGCCGTGATACTTGCTGAGTCTTTCACAACATAAACATGTTTTTATGTCTGAACCTTATTGTTTTTTTGTTTTTTTTTCTAGATTAAGTTTGATGACAGGATGCTGCGTACAGACCAGGGTCTTCTGATCCGCAGCCTGACTCAGTCTGACACAGGAGTCTACCACTGCCAGGCCATCGAGCACGGCTTCATCCAGCCTCTGCTGCGACTCAACCTTCAGGTCATCCCCACACACAAACTGGGTGACATTCTGCCCGGACTTCCTGGTTTAGGAGGTGGCTTGGGCCACTCAGCCAAGCACAGGGTGTGGTACCGAGACTTCCTGTCTCTATTGGACCACCCGGAGCTAAACAGCGTGGAGGAGTTCTGTGACCGAGTTTGGAAGAAGGAGCGCAAACAGAAGAAAGCTAAGACTCCAAGCGGCAACAATCAAGGCAAACCTAACGGTGGTGTCTTGAACTCTCCGTTACGGCCTAAAGCTTCGGCTTCCACCACTCAGAAGCAGCAAGCTGCCCCCCCACATAGCAAGCCCTGGCTTCAGGCTGGAGCTCCCACGGTTGTTGGGCAAACACGGAGCCAGAACACCCAGAAAGGTCAACCAAATCCGAGTGTGATAAGCAGCCAGGCTGCTAAGAACAACCAGAAGAACCAAAATGGGCAGAAGGGTCAGGGTGGACTAGCTGGCTCGCAGGTCGCCGGCGTGTCTCGGGGGAGCAGCCAACACACAGCCAAGTGGAGACGGCTGCAGGAAAGTAAGAAGGGACGCAACAGGAGGACCCACGAGCTTCAAAGACCACCGCGCAGTGTTTGAGAATCAACACCGAGACTTACACACACACGAGCACAAAGCCATGCATCCACAAGAACGAGTTCCAGTGACGACCTCATAACAGCAACCCATCCAGCTCACTTTTCTTAGCTAAAATATGTGAACTGCACCCGTGAAACAACAACAAAAACTCTTACTCAAAGACACACTGAGGCACAAAACCTGTGGAAAAGACTGACAAGGACTGAAAACCAGGAATACGTACTGTAAATGTGAGGATGTGGCTGTTTGCCTGGAATACAACCTCTTGTACATAAGCTACTAAAGATGACTGGAACAAAAACATTTTGACGTATTTTGTCAAGAAATGAGTGGATTTGATACGCTGAGCGGACAGCCAGGTGTGCAGACACATATCGGAGCAGAACTGATGCATTGGCTGCAACTTTGCCTGTTCAAAATCATGGAAACTGGTTTAAAACTCTTATTGTGAAGAACGATTTAAAGAGGAAATAAATCCTCAAGCAGGGCGACGACAGCACCCTTAAAGGTGGGAAGAGAAGGGTTCATCTTTGCGTGTGCATGGCTTGCACCGTGTTTTCAGACAAACGGGTGCATAAAAAAACATGCAAACTCATGCCACTGTGCAGACGTCCATCAAAACTTCACGGAGGCTGGGAAAGCGTTGTGCATGTTGTCAGTGTTTTTAATAAGCTAATTTTTTGTTGTTTCACCCCACTTCCAAAAAAAAAAGTCGCATTTTTTAAAAATTGATATTTTCTTTCCCTTCAAAACCTGCGCTTCTACTTTACAGGTGAAGTGCCAGGTCTTTTGAGTAACTTATGCTTTTGTTTTTCCAGAAATTTATCAAACTGGGCCAAAATCCCAGTTATAGGCTATGCTAAAAACCCAGTCTGAAAGGAGGCTGTCCGTTTTTTGTGTACATATATACAACAAATTTAAATCTGTGTATATACAGTACAAATACAGTACAAGAGCACCACTTGACTTTTATTTATTGCTCATTGTTTTGTGAAAGGGTTGCATTTATTTTTGATATTTTGGTATATTTCTCTCGTCAGTATTCTGGAGAACCGACAGCAGCAGCGACAAAATCCCATAAACGGACCAAGCGGCGAAGATTATTTTGAAGAGTTCCTTATTTCGCGGACATAAAGTTGATTAAGTTGAGCACACCAACCTTTTGCGTCCATTATGTTTGACAACGATAAGCACAATTAACTTTTTATTTTGTCCCAGTTCCAGTCAACATGTCTTCATTTCACCCCGTAGCTGTTCTATGTGTAAGATAATTCTCCAAACGTGAAAACATTAGCTGTGAATCTGTAAGAAATAGTGGAGAAACATTTTAAATCTAGTCTGAGGAGAAGACACATTATACTGCATGTGAATGCTACCTACAGTAAGTGCATCTTTTCTATTGTCTTTTTACGTGTTTTTGTGTGAGAGGTTAAAAAAGCCCTGACTTAAAGCAAGGTGTGACTTACAATTTTGTCCTTTCTTTGCCAAAACAGTGAAAACTACCAATTATATTGTGGCCAAAGCAGTATCAGATCCAAGATCCTGACATCTTTGATTCAAAGATGGCGCCTCCCGTCTCCCACTTCTACTCCTCACTCCTCAACACTTAAAGAGTAAAGTGTCGATGCAATAAATTAGAGCAGATTCTGAACCGATGCTCACAGGTTGGAGTTACGGCTGCTGTAACGCAGTTCCTTCTGGCATGCATTCAGTTGTCTAAATAAACATCTCTGTTACAAAAAAAAAAAAAAAGTTTCTGTGTTCTTTTCTCTGCGGCCCAGTCCAAACCTCCAGTCTGAGGCTTGATTGAAGTCACCTGGTAAGTGATGGAGCATTAGAGGCTCAAAAGTGTTTAAATCAGAGAGGGCTTTGAGATGTATCGTGTTACTCTGGCTGAGACGAAACGTGCCGAGGATTGTGAACAAAGTTTGAAGTAAGAACTATAAAATACAAATATCCACACTAATGACTAGAAAGCCATGAATCATCTGAGTTTTCTGTTGTACTGATATGCAAGCTCCTTATTTCTTATTTATGTATCCTCCTTTTTACTTAATGGACATGGAAACTATAGTTAGCAAAAAAAAACAAAAGTTTTTTAGGTCACTGTTGGCAAGGTCAAGCGAAAATATGTGAAATTTACAGATAAGTTGCATATAAGTCATAAATGTCTGACTATCTGTTTAAAGCCATAATGATCTATTATCGACAAGAAAATCATGTTTCAAACACGATTGGACAAAATTGGCATCCTTGAGAATAAATGTCCAAAGAAACCTGTTTAAAAGCAACATTAAAATATTGACCAGATGGAGTCATCGCAGCAATTGGCACCAGTTTGTCTTCTGGGGAATATTTGAGTCTGTAAGAGAAGCCTACACTTAATGAAAAGGAGGTAATAGATGTTTTAGACAATCTACCAGGGTCGACACCAAAGAGGGGCCAGGAGGGACCATGCACCACTCTTAAAAAAATTGCTGCCTTCTCCTGAGACAGTTTTGTCCTTTTGGCCTGCATCTTAACTTTAGCAGTTTAAATTTTCCATTAGCTGTGTATAGAACAGTGTTGTTGATAGTTGTTCTTGTCTGATGATTTAGTCCAAGTATTCGGAGACCATTCAGATTATTGAAAGAAATGTAATCTGATGGGGTTTAATCTATAACCTGACAGCAGATTCTCCGTCCCCCTGTCAGACATGAAAGAACAGGTTTATTCCCCATGCACTGGTAGAAAACATCCCAGAAAAACAGTTCAAAGTGCTCAGGATGACTTCAAATGATGAATGTTTAAATGTCTGTAGAACATAGCTTGCCTGTTCACTGTATATTTGTCAAGACATGCTTGAAACCTTCGATTGTGGTGTGACGTACACAAAGCACGGCTAAAATTTCTACAGTAATGCATCACGGCTTGAGCGCTGCCCTGATTACATAAACAGCATGCTGACAACAGATGGGCCTTTTTCTTGGAATGGAAAAAAGTCATTCATCTCAGCCAGCTTCTTATTTTAGATGGTAAAAAGCGGGGGCTTTTGTTGCTGTGGCAAAAACAAAAGTTTGGAACAAAAAAAGGTTTGTTTAAAAAACAGCTGATGCTTTTGATGCATTTTTGTGACCTTTATTAGAAATCTATTAATATGTCCTTATGAGTTAAGATAAGTTTTTTAATTGCCGATTGTTCAAAGATGCACTGTTTGCTAAATGGATGTGTTAAAACCTACCAACATCACAACAAATACCAAGTGATTGGTGATCATTGTTTTTGATAAATCAGTGTATTTACTTTTCCATGCTACGTTTTCCAGAGCATTTTGCTCTCAAACTGCAGGTTTCAGAAATGGAAGAAGCTTTATTATCACTGTACTGAGATACAGTGAGATTATGTTTGTACAGTCGTCCGAAAAATGGACTGAGTGCACGTTGCTGCTGCTACAAGAGCTTAGCCTCTTATCCTTGATCAGAATATTTTTTTAGACAGAAAAAGGGAAAATGCCATGAGGATGGATAGTGGTATGACAAAAAAGATCTCTTCACATCTTGTCCTATCAGGACACGATTTAAGAAATCAAAAAACTACCAGCAAGCACATTTATAGACACATTACATATGCATTTGATGTCAAGACGGTGAGATTTGTCCATGAAGCATTTCCAGATAGGCCGTAGTCCTGATAAGATGTTGGTCAGCCGGCAGTTCTGGTAAGCCTGCACAGAAGGTTTACTTAGTTTACCCATGTCCCAAAAGAAATTTGATAGTCAGCCTGCTTTCAAGGCCAAACAGGGGATTCAGATTCAGATAAGCCACAGTTGTTGATTTCTTCAGGCAGACTGTTTTTTCTTCTTGTCAGCCTTGAGTCCTGCTGGTACTTTCAATCCCAAAATGGTCAGATTTGTGGGCATTCCACTGATCCGTGATATAAGCCTCCTTCAAGATCATCTCCAACAGGCTGGCGAGTCCTAGAAGTTGCAGGTGGCCTGCGATTCTCACAAATCGCCTCTATCTTATGGTTTACCTTGTAAATCAGCTGATTCTGAGTACTCGTAGCACGAACCAAACCATCAAGGCAGGCAGCCTGATGAGGGCCAAATTAGCTGCAGCCATTTTCTTTGTATGTTGATAAACCAGGAACCAGCTGACTCCAAAAAGCAGGAAACCTGTTATCATAAATCCAATTATATATGTCTTCGGCACCCTCCTGAGACAAAATGGAAAGACACATCAGCTCCCCCATCCATAATGTCTCCTGCAGCGTGAGTCTCAACGGGACGTGGGGGCTCTCCAGGACCCTGTTACTTTGTTCACAAGATTTTGTCGATTGCGTTGAAAGTCCAGCTCAGATCCATAATAGTATTTTTCATTCGGAAGATGTGTAGCAGGAGCTCCGAGACACAGACAGAGAGCATAAAAGCAGGAGGAAGCGGAGAACAGGGGAGGGAGAGAAAATGCGTCCGCCTTGTGCAAGAGCAAGTGCAGGAAAAAAAAAAAAAAGCTTTTTACTTGCTGTTTCTAGAGTTTCTAAAAGTAAAATGAGAGGTAGAGCTCTCAGTTACTGAGTTTCTTTCTTGTGGAACCAACTTATAGTTTCTGTCAATGAGGCTGACATGTCTAGTTTCAAGACAAGTCTTAAGGCTTACCTTTTAGATAAATCCTATTGTTAAGATTGGCTTAGGTTTCCTGAGCTATCTCTTGGTTATGCTGCTATAAGATTAGACTACTGGAAGACAAACTTGACCACATCTCCTCACTCTGCTGTTGTCTTTAGTTTCTTCTTCTTGTTTGTATATTCAGTTATTACTGCCATTTCCCTGACATTCGTAGTTTTTCTTCAACATCCGTTTGTCTCTATTCAGTCTTTTAACTCACATCAGGTTGAGGCTGAAGGTCGCTTTTCCTGAGCCTGGATCTGAAAGGACTTATGCGTCTAGTATGTAAAGAAATGGAACTGAATTCAGTTGAAAACAACCACCAGAGGTCCCTATTCAACCACCTTTCCAGCTCTTAAGCTCATATTGGAACCCATAAAAGGTTCTTTAGCCTTTAATTCACTCAGACTGTGTGTGGTTTTTCTCTCAGGTGTAAAATTGAGATGGAAATACCCAGAAACTGCTCTCTGTGAGAGTTTCTGTGCGTCAGCTGAAACGATTAAAGAGCTGCAATCATGCTTCTGTGCTCAGTTTGCATGTGCCTTACAAATGTGCTGGTTACCATGACAACTGTCCTCACAAGTTTGAGTCCTTGCAAGCTTCTGCAAACATTTTGGAGGATTTTATTGCGGTTTATTTTGCCACAAGGGATCTCTGCACTGTCTACGGTGCTTTCTTCACATTTCTGATTTTTGGAACTGCACATTCAAATGGAGCTGTTTTTTCTGGGTATATTTTCACATATCAAGAAAAAGTCAACATGCAAACACATTTTTATTGCGTTCAAAAAGAACATATTTTACTGAAACTGATAACGGAATTAGTAGAATGATCAGTTAATTTTCCTATAGCACTACAAGGAGCGTTGATGTTTACTTTTATTTCATATGGTTATTATTGCTGTAGGATTAAACAAATATTTAACTTCAATGAACATTATCTACACACTAAAAATAGCTGGGATAAAGAACAACCTGGTGGTGCATTAAATTTGGACCAAACCAACACTGGGTATCCTGATGCATGCTCAATAATGCAGGCAGATCTAACAAGGTAGAGTCAGGTCCTCTGAACAGATTATTCTTTGTAGGAACATTTAGTCTTTTGTCCAAAATACTTCGTCAGTCTGAGGAGCTGCAACAAACCATCTATAAAAGCCCCTTCGTGGCCGAGTGATGCAGTAACAGCATTGTTATAAGGTGACAATTGGGCATGAGTCCTCCACTCCTGATTTAATGGACGGTTTCTTTTCACAAAGATGGCCTCCTTTACTCCTCGTGGTTCCTCTCAAGGATGTGAACATCTTCATCCCTGAAAGAGTGACCGCTGGTCTGCAGTTGAGTGTAGACCACAGAGTCCTGGCCTGATGATGTTGATCTTCTGTGCTGGGCCATCCTTTTGGCCAGTGGCTGTTTAGTTTCCCCGATGTAAGACTGATCACAGCCCTCCTGGCACTGAACAGCATACACAATATCTGTGCTGGGGGACTGGATATTTGGTAAGAACCTGTAATGTATTTTGGGATTTGAAAGTCACTGGGACGCCATGTTTAGAAAATAAACGTCTCAGTTTATAGGAAACTCCCGCAACATACGGAATGACCACTGGTCTAAACCCCAAACCCAGACCTAGACCATTGGTCATAGTGTGGGAGTTTCAGAGAAGCTGAGATGTTTCAAGAAGAGTCTGTCCAGCCAACCCTGGATAGTTTAACTCTGCACATGCAGCAGACTGGGTTAGGATTTCTACCCCACAAAAATGTGTTAAATTACTAATTTGTTAATATAAAGCTAACAAAAAGATGGATTAAAAAGAACAACCGAAAATCTGGGTTATTGTTGGATTAGCATTAGTGGTGCTAACAGCCATTAGCACCAGCTAGCTTAGTTATTTTAGGAAGCAAAACTTACAGTCTAGTGCAAACTACGCTATTAGTTCAACAAAATTAATTCAGGTCCTCTGGACGGTTTCTTTTTTTTTTTTGTTGAGACGTTTCGTCTTTCGTCCAAGAGACTTCAAATCTTCTAGAGAAGGTCCAGTCGGGTTCATTTTGGTCAACTTTTGTCTTAAAATAGCAAACTGAAGGTCGACGTGCCTCGTCTCTGACCCA